CTACACAGGAGCGATGTTGCATGCCCAGCGCTTCCTTCAGAGAATCTTTACCTCTCACATTGCAATCCGGTAACCTGCTGCTACTTGATATAGATGGCCAAGGAAAATAACGCTGGGACTTCTGGCATCTTGGCTCACAGCATGTAACTGACAATATTCTTCTGTGCTGACCTGAGGGACCGCTAGTTTTCTACATCCAGCATGCCCCCATATTGGACGCCAGCCATGAAGGGCATCTGAGACACCTAGGAAACTGCTCAAGGACCCCTAACATCGGTAGTGAAGGGGACTCCGCAACCATGTGGAGTGACATCCATCTTAACCTTAACACAGCTCTGCCTCCTTTTCTGAGAGGGGAATGGCAGTAAGCATGTAGAGTTTGGAATCTGCTGTTATCAGTGGCCCCAGTTTTCCCATCTATAAAATGCAGACATTGACCTACCCAGGTCCCATAAAAATCACATAAAATACATAAAGATCACATAAAATACATGCCAGCATCGATCTAGCATATTCTTAAGCATACGGTAAGAAGTGAAGGGAGAGTCAAAGTGTGTGAGCTGCCATCCAAACACTGTGCAGGCCACCAAAAACTCGTTTCCGTGTCCCAGGCAGTAAAGCCAAAAGGTCGAGGCAGAGATACACCAGCTCTGTTTCTAGGATTCAAATCACGTAAGCCTTGAAGACTTTGTAACTGTATAAAGGTGATACCACCACCTGAATTTCCCACCTCGATCTCATCAGACAAGTGTCGCGGGAAACAGTTGGGACAAGGTCTCATGCATGTTAGGCTCAGTGATGAGTCAAGTTACTGTCACTCTCACCGATAAAGTCACTTAGCACTTTCGAGATGGTGCCACAACAAATAAATGGAGGCGTAGCATCGAGAGCGATCTCCAGCGGGAACGCTCGCCTTACACCCGCCACGTGCCAGGCACTGTGCTGAGCCCTTCTGTGGACTCTCACTTAACCCTCACCGTGGCACAGCAACACAGTCCGCACCACGTCCACCTCGAGAAGGGCTTAGCATCTTGCCCAAATGACCACATCAAGACCGACACCACAGTCAGTGCTTGTGAACCTCCTTGCTGCCAATCTGTGACTTTCTCCTTAAGCAAAGTGAAGAAGCAAACTCTAGATGCTCTGCTCCCCTGCAGAGCCCATGACCCACCTACAGCCTACCTTAGGCTTCCTTCTGAGATCATCGCTAGTAGGTTTACAGGGAGACTCTCAGTCGGTGGTCCCCCTTGGTTCCTGTTTCTTGAATAAGCCAGGCTCAGAAGTGCTCAACGGATTTGGGGGACACAGTAGAGATGAGACACTCCTGTCATCTGTTCTTTAATAGCTTATCTGCAGACCCCCCAAGATTCACGCATAGGACCTCGCTGCTAACTCGTGTTCAGCTTTTGATCTGTGAAAGCAGATAAGGATGATGTACATAGAAGGCTTACTCCCCCTCACATGAAACCGTTTTGACTTGGAAAAGTTCCATGCTTGACTTGAGAGAAGTAAGTCCCCAAAATGCCATTGTAGAATCTTGAGATTCATGTCTCCTATATTTGGAAACAAGGTATCTTTGGAGACTATTTCTACTTCTACATATTCCTGAACCTCCACAGTTTAGGTCCATGATGTGGCTGAAACATTGATCATATAATTTCCAGTTTTTCCAAAGAGTCAGGCTGGTTGCTTAATTGTGAAACCGTGGAGCTCAAACTCCATGATCAGGACGAGCAGGTTGTGTTCTAAATTCTCGAACCTAAGTTATCACAGCAAAAGTGAATAAGCCATTTGCAAGTTTCCCTCCCACTAAAATCAGGGATTCTAGCTTCCATTTGGGTTCAAAAGAATAAACCTCTTCACTAGGTAAGAATTTTAGAAAATTCCTCTAGTTAGACTAATGAGATGGAACATTCCACTAGCATCTTTTGCTTTGGGGGGTGAGGAGAGTTAAAAGGTATACTTCAGCGAGGTCTCCCATTTCTAAGCATTAAACTGAAGAGTTAGTCCTTTTCAATGCCCTATAGTTTTGCTATTTAAAGCCCGTCTTCTCATTTTTTGAGAAGGAAGGGCTATCTGACTTCCAAAGATACAAGGAACAGAAGTAAGTGCCAAAGTCGAAGTCTCTCTCTTTTTTTTTTTTTTTTTTTTTTTTTTTTTTTTTTGGCCTTGTGTTCATCAAGAATAGAACACTGGAGGCTTGAAGATGATGCCATGGCTTTAAAATAGCTGTAAGAATGTCTTAAGGGGGTTGTTTGAACAACTGGGGGTACTTGCTTGCCAAACAGACAGCTTGCAAAGGCCACTTAAAAATTTGGACTCAGGGACGTGGCTGGATTTCTTTACCAGGGGCCACAAATGTATTTACTCATTGTTTACCAGTCTTTGCAGCAAGTCCTAAAGTCTCTGGAGGACCCACTTTCAGTGACTGTGTACGACTCACTTGATTCCAAGCATCTTCCTTCATTGTTTGATAAGTTTCATATTTTACCTCTTAACTAATTCTCGCCTTGTCTAGTAAACTCTGTGGACATAGCAAACTTAGGCCAATATGTTTCATGTAGGATTCTTATAGCTCTTATTTGGATACTGAAGCCCAAGGCTCTAGTTCTTCATAAAGTGTCATTACATGCTGAATTGACCAGCCATATTAACTATTCTTAATACGTAGTTACTTCATATCTTCAGCACTTGAGTTAGAGTTTCTGTCCTTGGCTACTTACAGGGGGTAGGGCAAGGTAAAAGATGGAGGTTGGAGACTCTTAGAAGGTTGGAGACTGGGACCTTGAACCTAAAAGAATATAGGTGGGACTGGAATGTAAGAGGAGATGATGGAGAACAATGCTTGATTTTATTCTTAAAAACTATGGCTTTGGGCCTTAAAGTTGACCTCGTAATGGGGGAAAACACTGGTATCTTCAAGCTTCCCAGGAGGGAACTTTGTGTTGCTCCAATTAAAAAAAATAAATCAGTGGGTTTTGTAGCATAGGGTCAAAGTACCAGACAACCAAAGGGCCTTCAGAGTTCAGATACGATGAATGCTAACCTACTTATCACATGGGCACTTCAGATACCCTATGTTGGCAGGCCACATCCTGTTTAGTGTAGTGACTATTTGAAGAGGAAGTAACAGGTGGACAGTTGAAGAATCCTGCCTTCACGGCTACAGCCTCTTCCTTCTATATTCCGGAATTGCACACCCCCCAACAAAAGCCCATGCCTTTCACCTTGATCCATCTGACCAAAATCACAACAGGTATCTATTAAACAATATGGCAGAAGCAACTTCATCTTGGATTGTTGATCTCTGCCTAAGCCACAACCGAGGTGTCAACTGCCTTACTTATATTCCACGTGCAAGTGGAATGGGAGTCACCCACCGATCTGTCATCCACTTATCTCAAAATACTTCTTCATCCTCTTGCTCCCGCATTGGTCATTTAATCCCAAAAGGAATCCTGCCTTCTGCAGCAGACTCTGCACCTCATTTTGGAATTAGAGCATCTTCCCAGGAATTCACGCCTCCTATCTTCCCTTGCTTGCCCACATCCTGAGACTTGAGAGAAACGAGGCAATGGCCAACCTGATGGAAAACTTATTAAAGCCCCGTGCTACTTTTTCTTCTACCCAAATTCCTTATCTGCCCTTCATACTAAAAATGTCAGACATTTTCCATAGAAGGAATCCATGCCAGCCAGATTGAAAAATTAGAAGGTACTGCAGGTTATCCATGAAGTCACATTGGAACAGTGGTTTTTCAAATGTTAGCTTACATCAGAATCACCTGAAGGGCTTGCGGAAACATATTCCTGGACCCCACCCCCAGAGTTTCTCATTCGGCAGGTCTGGGAAGGGACTTGAGAATTTGCATTTTTAACAAGTTCTCAGAGGATGGAGATGTTAACCCCACTGAGAACCACTACCTTAGAGTTCAAGAATGGCACTGAATGTTACCTCTCCAGCCCTCTTCATGGAAGACTGTGTACACGTATAAAAGCAGAACATACTTAGCTCAAGGACAAGAAGCACTCATCCTGGAGCTACATATAATGATAGGACACGGAAAACAGAGACTTAAGCATGAAGAAGCAGAACTGGCAGAAATCTTAGCACAGGTTTCTAGATCAGGGAACAAATGAATGAGAAAAGGAACTTTCCCCTGAACAAGAGGAATTCTAGGTATAGGCTAAGTCAGCTTCTTTTACAAAATAAATAATTGGGGAACAAATATTAAGTGGTACCTTGTTCTCTTGGTACTTGGTTGTAAGAGAAAGTAGCCAAATTACAGGCTTAGTTATGCAACATCAAGGTCTGTATCACGTAGCTCCTATAGTTCATTAGAACGCTTGATTCTACTCAGGCTGTTTATAGAAGTTTATCCTAGAGGAATAGGCACAAACCGTGGGTAAGCTGCTTGGTTTAATTGTTTTAGCACTTGAAAAAAAAATGTACAGTAGTTTGAACACTCAGTCTTTGCAAGCCTCCACTGAGGTCCAAGGTTTCATTCATACGTACAAAATTAGTTTACAAATTTTTTGGCAATTTCATCTTAGTAACCCGTTTTATCCTATTGCCATTGTCCCAACCGTCGAAAAAGTTTACAATAATTTACATAGAAATATTTTCAAAGTGCTTAAGAATAGTGATTGTTTTCTGGGATATTTACAGATGGCCTATACAATGTATGTACAGGTGGTCTACACTATAGCACAAGTGTCATTGCTGGAATATGGCTTTCTAGGGAAAGTGCATATTTGGCCAGATGTGGCAATACTGTCTAGAAGTTCAAGGGTTAGATACTTGGTAACCACATCCAAAGCTGAAGTAGAATGTGGGCAGGGATATTTACAAAAGTCATATAAAAACGGTCAAGTAGACAAGCTTGATCCATGTAAAGATATCTTGATGTTCTTCCAGAATGGAGGAAGAAAGACTTCAGGCGTTGGCTCGGTTACCATTCCGAAGTGGGGGGAGGGTATTGGTCTAGACCTCAAAGGTCAAGACTCGTCTCAGAAGTCAAGCTAGATCATCATCTGTGCTTACAACTGATATCTGTGGAAGAGAAAGAGTACAGAATGAGCTTGGTGGTCACTCACTGGTAGTAACTCCAGTCTCTGAAATGAAGGACCTTGCTTTTGGGCTGGTCATTCAGAGACCAAAGGGGCATCCAAGGAAGTCAGATCTCAAAAAAGTATTGAGTTGTGTCCTTGATGCATTTTAACTTGAATCCATTGGTATCTACTTGGTAGACAGAGAAAACAGTGGAACTGATGCTGCCATTCTACTTAATGATCTTAAGTAGAATAGGGAAAAGACACATGTGTGCCATCAATTGACCACCATTCTTTGTTTTGCCCAAGAGCTTGAGAGAGGGAGTGCTGAGTACTTGTTTGGTTCACACTCTTCCCTAAGTGAAGGCCAAATACTCCAGTTGCGTTTCAACTGAAGAACAAGCAGCTGACTCTGCTGCTGAAAGGAAGCTAGCTATAGTAGGTGGGATAGGCCACTTCGAAGCATTTGGTATTGATGGCTAAACGAATCTCGCTTAATACACTGACTTTAAGCCAACGACCCTATATAGGATGTGCTAATTTTTAAGTGTCCAGTAGACAGCGGCCTTAACAGTTCAAATAGGAGCCACTTGGTTCATATAAGTTGGTACATACATTTTCCATAACCAAGAAATATCTCCAATAGTACAGTGATGACCTTAGATCGACTTACTTGCTCTATATGGGGCAGATGCTTAGCAACTGACTGGCATGTGTTCTAACAGGCTACACTGTCTACTCTCCGGGTGGTAGATGTATTTGGTGGCTCTGTGATCCCAATGGCTCTTTCCAGCCCAAGCAACCATAGCTTGAGTCAGCCGTCTCCTTTCCAGAAAGTCCTACAGCAAGCCATGGTGTATCAAGACACAAAGCTGACTTACTGCTGGGTACGTGTGTCCAACAGAAGCACTGTGTCTGCCAATGTCTATTGACAAGTCCTCTTCGGTAGTCTTCAAGTACACAGGATTGTCAAAGTTCATGCTTTTCATGTTCTTGTGCTGCCAATTCCGCCACATCAAATAGCCACCCACCGCTGCCATTGCCAAGAGCACTGAAAAAAGTGAGAAGGTGACTAGGCAGCCTCTAGTCTCAAAACGTCCAAAAAAAAAGGGTCATGTTCAGGGATTGGTGATAGGTGACATGAATACAAATTTTAGGTTTTAAGAAGTTGGCATGGCTAAATGTTGGAAGATAAATGGGTCAGGAGCTTGAGACAAGTTCAGACCAGTGGTTAAGTGTCACTCTGTGGACTGGTGCTAAGTTCCACACAGCCATGTGGGCGAGTGTGGAGTCCTGGGCCCCTTCCTGGGCCAATTGAATTAAAATTGCACAAGTTTCTGGAGGGCTTTCCAAGTGTTCCCCGAGGCGTGTTAGCTAGGCTTAGAATCCAGTATTTGAGGACAAAGTGACCCTTTTAGCCCAGTGCTTTAGAATCCTCATGCCCAAAAATTGCTCTAAAAGTTCTTTCCCCGGAGTTTAATAATTCTTAACCATTTTTAATTTACCCTGTACAAGTCCTCCAACTCCTCAGGAAGGCATTAAAGTATCTGTATGTCTCCCCTGTGTGATGCATCATATACATTTCAAAGAGGGGAATAGACCTGTGTTCTTTACCTAAAGGGACGTGTTGTGAAAGGGGAAGAGCCAGACTAACAACTGTGAAGTAGAGAGCAATCAGCACCATTCATGGAATAGCTGAGAATTTACCACTGCTAGTCACTGTGCTAAGTATACCATCGAAGAGAAAGGTATGGACTCCGTGTGCCATGCTGGGGACAGAGTGAATGTGGTCAATGTTACGAGTACTGTGACCATGGGAGAGGGGTCTCTCTCTAGATGGATGAGAAATGTCCATCTGGTGGGTGGTGAACAAATTCATCAGACCCAGATACGTAGGGAATGTACTTACAGAGAGGAAGGATGGCCCAGGCAGCAGAAGTGCCTTTCGGAGGAACAGTGACCTCCGTTACCGCTGTGGTCACATTGATCCCTACAGGAGAATAAAAGGAATCGGTTTAGATGGACCTGAATTCAGACTTAGAAATGTATCCATCTGGCGGAGCACCTCATACCCGGTGCTCGTTACTGATGTTTAGTATCTACTGCTGTGTATACCAGGAGCAACTGGTCTACAAGTGTTTGAGAGGCACGTGCTAGAACAGCTATTTCACTAACAGTTTGCTAATAGAAATCTTAATAAGTCAGAACAGGCTAAGAATTGCAGGCTCTAAGTCTTTGGAGTTCAAATGCATGTTACCAATCAGGGGCAGAATGAGTAGTTACAGGCTGCATTAATTACATAAGCAATAAATACAGGGAGTGTGGCTGTTAGTTGAGATTCACAGTTGGCAGTACTGGCCCAGTACCTCCAGGAGCTAGTCCACTAGTTGGCGAACTTTCTATTGTGTTGAAACCCTTTGTCTCTCTGTAAGTCACAGTAGTTGCAGTACCTGAATTACAAAGACCAAGAACCTGGTTAATGCCAAGGTTCCAGAGTGGCTAGCTGTTTCGTCCAGATAAATCATGAGAATGGTTACTTAACACCATGGGAGACAGACAAATCACTGCTGAGCTAAAGTTGCACGGCCAAGGCTGAAAGAAAGTCTTCATGCAAAACCAAAGACACGTAAGACTTGGGACAGAACAGTCAGCATTTGGAATTTGACAATTCAAGAAGATGCACAGCCACACTTACCCCTGTCAGCACCATCCTGGAAGTTACAAGAAACGCTCTCAAAACCAGATTAGCAAACGTACTATTCTTACTGTCAGATTGCCTTGCAATGACTTTCTTAGTAAACTGACCTAATCTCTGCAGGGACTCCTTAGTAAGCTAATAAAAGCCTCACACTGCAAATTCCTTGCTCACAAGAAGTGACTTTAATTTGCCACGTAATGAAAAGCTAAGGACAAAAGATGAAAGTCAAGTTTAAATGTGAGTAGGAGATGGCATCGCCCACTGGGGCCGTAGGGGTTCCTGTAATGATGGCCTCTTGGGAGGAAAATGTTAAGACTCGGTTTAGTTATCTGCAAGTTGGCTAGCTCAGTGCTGTTATGGGCCTCACTGGTACAAATCAGTATAGTCACAATCAGTCTTGAGTCAGCTATAGACTCGCCTGATGCTGATGTGAGTTAGAAGTCAGTTCTGAAGTACAGACATGAAACCCTGGCGTGCAAGTAGCAGATACATTCCCAAATCTATTCCAAGAATCAGAACAGAATTCTTTAAAAATCCAGGCTGGTTTTATGGCTAGTGTCTTATTCTGTTGCCTACTGTTGTGTCCCGTTGGTGGTTGTAAAGGAAAAAGCCTTACTGTGGCACTCCCGGCCGTTTTCTTCTAGATTGTACCCATTGGGACAGGAACAGGTATACTTTGGAGAGTGATCGTTAATTTGTGGTGCTGGCAGGCACAGGTATTCACATCCTCCATTCTCCATGTCTTCTTCACACCAATTTTTACCTATTGAGAAATAAAAGTCCTTTAAAATAGGTATTCTGGTGCCTACTATACATGGAGCCCTGTTCTAGATGCTGAAGACATGAGCCCTTGTCCCCAAGGAGATGAAACTTGTCTATCTGTCAAACATTGGAGCTCAACCAGTACAGTGAAGAAAAAATATAAGGGTACAGGAAGCATGCTCTAAGGATACCACAGATCCAAAGAAACTTGTGGGAAGTCGCATAAGGATTATGCCTTGAACAGGTGGGTGGTGAGGGAGCAGGCGGGGGAAGGAGGTACCCACTACTGGTCCAAAGCTTATAGTGAAGACTCAAGGGAAGGAGATTAGCATGTTCTCCTTCGTCTTTGCTTTGCCTTGCTCCCACAAAGCGGAAGGAACCCAGCTACAGGGAGGTTTAAGGCTTTCTGTTACATAGAACCAGTCAAGTATTTTGAGCAGGAGATAGTATGAACAGATGTGGTTGAGGATCTACATAGAAGATGTGTCATGATGGGGAGGCAGAGAAAGTTTCTGGCATAAAGCTACTTTTGATGATAGTACAATCATCTTAGTATAAGAGATTGACGGCCAAAAGTTATGGAAAGCCTGAAATAAAAGACTGAACGCTGAGGGTTGGAAGGGAACACATGAGTTGAAGTTCTACAGCTCTCGAGGAAGTCAGAAATTAAAAAAAAAAAAAAAACATCAGCTTTGAAGTGTTTGAAGTGAGGGGAAGGAAGGGAAATTTTCCATTGTAGAGCAAGTTGAGTTGCTAAAGAGCTACCAATACCCAAGCAGGTACTATGTCATGCTGCTGTCCTTACAGTGGCCTTGCGGGGCCGTGCTCATCCACATTACCTGATGGCTGTACAAGTTCATGATAGACAATGATGTCTTGGGCATCATTAAGGTTGTTAACGAGAGTGGCCAGCTCTGATCCAGTGAATTTATTGGCCCCATAGACTGCTTCATTTTCCCCATCGATCCAGTAGACACGATCCTAAAACAGAACACCCAAACGAGTATGTGTACCTGGGATTAACACAAGTCATTATCTGAAGTCATCATCATTTACTTGCAATTTAATGGACCAAATTTATTGAACACTGGTCTGGGACACTGGATGTCCCAGACTATAAAAGATGCAAGTTGAGGTTTCTTAAAGTGCCATAAGAAATCAGCATAGAATTTGTCCCATGTTGTAAGTGTCCAACCCCCTCTTCTCGCGTGCCTGTTCTTTCTCCCCCAGGACACTACAGTAACTCAGAGGTACACACTTAGACACGAGGCACACATCTCACCTCAAATATTGTTAGTGCGAGAGGATGAGCTAGGAACTCCAGAGACTTGAGGACAATCCTACGATCTTGGCCATTCAAGTCCACGCTGGACAACATGTGCAGCTTGGAGTCGAGCCAATAGAGACGGCTCTTTATAAGGTCTGGGGAAGAAAAGAATTGTCAAGGCACGATAAGCTGTCACGGCTCTGGCTTCCATTGAAAATATCCAAAAAGTCCAACATTCTACACTCATGGATTCCTTCCCCAGCCCAGTTTCGTAAGGGGGTCCCACAAACCTTGTGAAGCAGCTGGCAGAATCTGTACACATATTCATTCTGGGAGACTAAGGGAGTGCCTAAGGTTCTCCAAGGAGCTTCCTTGAGAAATGTTACATTATATAGAAGTATTAAGTTAGCGTGTTGTTCTGCCCCTACGGGATGAGAGTTTCCAAGGCCCAAGTTCAGGCTTCCCTGAATTCCCGTCACCTATTGGGTCCAAATGGACATAAAAGCTAGCGGTGGTGCAGCAAGTAATTTGTTAAGTCCACTGTCCCACTTGAATTGCTCAGTTACTCTCTTCCAAAAGTCCTGCTACAAAGGGAACCATAGAGAACTGTCTGCCATAGTGCAGAATAAACTGTAGAGAGAAGCGAAAACTGCAGAATTGGCGGTCAAGGAAGGAAGAACATACGTACCAAGGGTAATTCCATTAGGCCATTGGATGTCCACTGTCACCAGAGGCCGTCTATCAAATCCATTCATGCCCGCTTTTTCTATTTTAGCGGGTTCTCCCCAGTCTGACCAGTAAACAAAGCTGGGAAGAGTCAAATGAGATTAGCCTCAGCGGTGTGGAAGGCATAAACTCGTAGTTTGCGACACACATTTAAAGAATGGATAGAAAACTCGAGAGACGATCAGTGACAATTCAGGGTCTAAATTATGTTCTGGGGAAACAAAAGTGAACACTGAGAAATCTACAAGCTCATTATGGACTATATTAATCTATATAAGTGTGGCACTTATATTTCAACCCCAAGTCACAGGTTAGGTCTTTCTTTTCCAAAAGGCCAATTCTTTCAGAGGACCCAAAAACAAATACATGCTAAGTTTTAGGGTAGGGGCTGGCTGATTATGTTCTAGTGAGGATTCATGGGGGTCAACAGTGGGTACTACAGGCTCAGTCAACTTCCCCAGCTGCTTCCCTATATTATTTAGTGGCAATTTAGGGAGATGTCTCTGTGAAGTGTTGCTAGACAGGTCCATTTATTTCCCCCGGACTCTCAGACAACTTGGACATGTAGATGAAAGCTTTGAGGTATTGTGGTTACCACAATCCCCCGACTCGTGCTGGTACTTGGGTTTGCTCATTGGGAGCTAACGTAACAAAGAATTCAGACAAAAATTAAAAATCACTCGGAAAGAAGGTGGGTGGCCACAAGGGCTCAGGTACAGCTTTTGGTGCATGTCACAGCAGACCTGTCGTTTCATTAATGTCAAGCAGTGGTCATACAGCCAGGGAGGGCCTGTGGTACAGTCCACCATGGCATCGCCGACATCTTGAACTGGATAATTGTTTGTTGTGGGGAGCTGAGTCTACGGCCACACCACCCTGAACGTGCCCCACCTCGTCTGTTGTGGAGAGCTGATAAGTCTTGGGATTTCAGTACTATTTCAGCCACGGGGATAGCTCCTGGCATACACAGATAGCATCCAAAAGGCTGTAAGATGAAAAGCAGACTACAAACCCAGACAGTGGGTCCACAGCTATGGAGGCAGGCTCCCGCAAGTCAGAGTTAAACAGGAACTTCCTCTTGGCTCCATCTAGGGTAGCTACTGAAATAGTCTTAGAAGCCGCATCCGTCCAGTAGATGGTCTTGTACACCCAATCAACAGCAATGGCTGCAGGATTATAGACATTGTCGATCATTTTAACATGTCTACCAACCTTGTCATCAATTGAGGCACTGAAACAGAATAGGTCACAAGAAATTTAAGAGTTTGACACCATCAGAGCCTGGAGAATGGACTTTCTGTTTACAAAATGGTCAACAGCTTTGTTCAGAAGAAACTCTAGTAACACCACAGCTCACCACTCAGATTATTTCACTATGCCTCTTACTGGTCCTACACAATACTGTCCATTATTTAGTTGCTGTTACGTATTCGATATGCAAGAATGACCCATTTTTTTTTTCAACGTTTTTATTTATTTATGGGACAGACAGAGACAGAGCATGAACGGGGGAGGGGCAGAGAGAGAGGGAGACACAGAATCAGAAACAGGCTCCAGGCTCCGAGCCATCAGCCCAGAGCCTGACGCGGGGCTCGAACTCACGGACCGTGAGATCGTGACCTGGCTGAAGTCGGACGCTTAACCGACTGCGCCACCCAGGCGCCCCAAGAATGACCCATTTTTAAGTGAAGCTATTTGTTTCAGGAACCATCGTCTGCGTTTCCATAGTTGCGGTTAAGAAAAAGCTGTCACTACCATTTCTAGCTTATAGCAGCTATGAACAATTGTCAGTTAACTAGAGAGAAAGGGGTGAAAATAGGAAAAGTTAAGACGTGCTTTGTGATAATCCTATAGCTATAGCCACCTTGTACTTGACAGATGATTTAGTTTCTAAGGAGGAACTGATAGTCATATAATAGTTGGAGAATCAATCAGCGTTCAGATTTAAGAGTCCCAGCTCATCAGATACTAGGTTGGAGCTACAAATTCCTCCAAACCTTCCCAAAGACCAAGTGACAAGGACTTGATGTCGAGACACCATGCACAGAACTGAAGTTACCTGAAGATGGCCTTTTGGCTTAGATCAGCCCAGAACAGCTTCTGAGCAGCGATATCCACATCCAGAGCCACTGTGTTTCTTAGCTGTTCAACTAGTTGGATGTATTCTTTCCTCTCCAAGCCAATCTTCCGGATGTCTCGTCGATTAGTGAAGATCAGACTTGGTTCTTTGCCTGCGAGAGAGGAGTCAGGTTTATTTGGTTTTGCTGTAAGAAGGCAAGGTCCTTCTGAGTCAGCTCCTCCTGGAGGAGGAGCACTTGTAAAGTAAGGGCAATGCTAAACACCTGAGGAATATTCTTGCTGCACTCCGTGTTCCCTGGGACTGCAAGTACTTCCCACCATCGAAAAAGGCCGTCCTGGGGTCACAGCACTCAATGGGAGGGTGGCTGATGGGTAAGTTACTTACTGGGATTGCGCTCAAGTCTGGGAAGCAGAGAGTAAGCAAACCCGGGAGGTGTTCATGGTGTCAGACGCAAAAGAAACTGACTAAGGCAGGTGTCTGGGGAAACGATAGTCTGTTTAACCTATGATACTGCACTGTGAGTCAGTAGCACGGTTCCCAAGTACAGATAGTCCCCAACTTAGGACTTTTTAACCTTACGATGGTACAAAAGGGGTTTGCGTTCTGTAGAAACCACACTTTGAATTCAGAGTTTGGATCTTTTCTCGGGGCCAGGGATAGGTGCTACCAACCTCTCTTGGGATGTTTTCTCATGATACTGCGCAGGAGCTCGGGGTCAGCCCCGCGATTACACGAGTGACCAACCGATCCACCAACGCCCATCTGTACCCATAAAACCATTCTGCTTCTCACTTTGAGTACAGTACTCAATACGAGACAGGAGCTACTCGATACCTGATGATAATACAGGCTTTGTGTTAGATGATGTTGCCTAACAATAAGCTAATGTAAGCGTTCTGAGCACATTTACGGTGGGCTTGGCGAAGCCACGTGACTTGGCAGGTTAGGTATGTTAAATGCATTTTCGACTTAGGATATTTTCAGCCTACAACGGGTTTATTGGATTGTGACGTCATCGTAAGTCAAGGAAGAGCTGCACTGTTTTAATTCCATATTGAGTTGACTCTTGGAGTCACTGGCTGTAGCTTTCGTAAGCACTTGCTCCTAAGGTACCAGAGCAACACGAACCCAAGTCCATTTACCTACTGCCTTGCACACACCAGTGGCAAGATCCATCTGATATCCTCGACTACATTCACACTTATAACCGCCTTTTAGGTTGATACAAATTTGGCTGCAGATTCCCGGGTTTTGGCATTCGTCAATGTCTAGGAGGGAAATTAGAATCAGTCTTGCTGTGCCTAGATGATACAGAGATACACAGTCTTTTCCAAGCCCCCCCCCCCCCCCCCCCCCCCCCCCCCCCCCCCCCCCCCCCCCCCCCCCCGACCCCGGCCAGGGCTCAGGCTCCCTCCCTGACTCACCTCCACAGATTTTCTTATCTATCAGTTCAAACCCAGCTGCACAGTCACACGCGTACCCTATAACAAGGTCCTTGCAGATGTGAGAACAGCCACCGTTATTAACCAGGCATTCATTGACATCTGAAATAAAAAGGGACTAGAGTTACTCAGCACCTTACTCCAGATTGGTGTCTGCCCTGATGAACATTCAACCTTGGGGCTTTTTGTGATAAGGTATCTAGTTTGTCTGGCCCAACCCATGATTTTCCTCCTTAGATCTAATAATCGGTCTTCAAGGTATGCATCTTGGAGGGTTTCAGGGGATAGAAAACCCGTCTCCTTGGCAGGTTACTAGTTGGCTAAGTAGTACTTAGTCAATTTCCCTATTGTTGATCTGTCATTTATAAGGAGGTAAGACTGTGTACCAGTTTGTCACTGCTTCGCCTTCTAAGGCATAAAAATGCCACTCTGGAGCCCAACCACTGAAGTCGGTTCACCACAAGTGGTTTAAGCAGGCACTGTACGGGTCTGTGTGGCATTAACTGTGGGCCAGGTCATTGGCCTTCCCCACCCTGTACTCAGGCCACCGGGGTCCACTTACGACATTCTTTGAGGGGCTCGTCACTCCAGTCCCTGCAGTCCTGCTCCTGGTTACATACTTTACTGATATCTATGCATTCCCCGCTTCTGCACTTGAACTTGCCAGGGCCCAAGCACTGATTGACTACAGAGAGAAACACAAAAGTGAGATTCCATGGTGGGGCCGCTCAGAGCAATCCTGCGACTCACCCCCAGGACGCGAGACCCTTACCGTTTTTGCAGTTGACTTCATCAGAGCCGTCCACGCAGTCTCGGATACCATTGCACTGCCTGCTGCCGTGGATGCAGCTTCCGTCCTCACACTCAAACTGGTCAGGGCGGCAGGTTCGCGAAGCTGCAGGGCGGGGGGACGCAAGACCATGGGATGGTCAGCCAAGCCGTCCCAGCCGAGGCATGGAGGGGGAGGGGGAGGAGGGGGAGGAGGGAACAGGCCCTACTGATAAGAAGGCTACGTACGACAGTTGACCTCGTCGCTGCCGTCTTTGCAGTCGGGGTCCCCATCACACCGCCACTTCTTGTGGATGCACTCGCCCGAGCCGCACTGCGTCTCGCTGGCGGGGCACTTGGTGTGCATCCGAGGCTGGCGGCCGCACTGCTCCAGGGACTCGTCGGACTGGTCGGAGCAGTCGGCGTCGTCGTCACACACCCAGCTGAGGGGGATGCACGAGGACGTGCTGCACTGGAACTCGTGGGCGCCGCACGTCGGGGGCGCGCAGTCCAGCTCGTCGCTGGCGTCGCTGCAGTCATCCTGGCCGTTGCACACGAAATTCCTGGAGATGCAGCGGCCGCTGGAGCACGTGAACTCATCGGGGCCACACGTGATGTTGCCTGCGGAGAGACAATGGGCTCCGCTGAGCACGTGTCCCGCAAGTGCTTTCCAGACTCTGGTCCCACAGTGTAGCATGCGGGATCTCAGATCACGAGCCCTAGCTTTCCAGCTTCACTAAAAAGCTAATGTGGATCTCTATCAATATCCAAATTCGTGGAGTATCTAGCAAGCGGTCCCGGTATGTACAAGAGGCAGGGACTCTTGAATAAGAACAGAAATAAAGGACCAAGAAAAGAGTTGAAGACTCTTAAGTTAATTGGAGAGGAGAACCACAATCTATCGGTAACGTAAAGCGACGGATAACTTGAACGAGAAAGGGGCAGTTCACTCTGAAAGGCAAAGACTCAGTTATCTCTCAATGGATAGACCACGGATCGGATGGTTAGCTAAAACTATTGTGTACCAGGTACACAGGCAAGACACTCGCAATAAGCATTATGACACTGTCACCAAAAAGAAGTCATCATGTTATACTACCACACATGGTTCCTTCTCTGCTGGTCCTTCACATGAGGATCCGGAATCACGGGTCTTAAATATTTTCAAGTGTTAGAAAGTCATTGCTAGGGCTAGAATCTCAATCTAGCAGCCGGCTAGGCTGATAACGATAAGCCAGGCAGACTAGCCAGTTTGTGCTTGGATTCAGATTCCTGCCGAATGAATCAAGGTCACAGTTTGGTGGTAATTAGGGTAGAAACCACGACTCTCTTGGGAAGCAAAGTCTAGATTAAAGAGGGAAACTCTGAGCAGCTCCCGGGCTTACCAAGCCATAAAAGCTCCATTCTAAGATTGAACACCAAAACTCACTGGACTAGGTGCGGTGATATTGACCTTGGAAGTCGACTTGTACACACGCAAGATGGACGTCTCGACCGCAAACACCCTCAGCTCACTTACTCTGCTGCATCAGGAGGCCCGTGCCCGTCAGACCTGGGAGGTGCAGCTTTCTGGGCCCTATAAAAGGGCGGTAGCTTGAAAGAGTGCTCACAGCAGTGTTTGTTCAACCTAGGTATTTTCCCAGGGCCTGGCCTGAGACATGGGGCACTTTATTACACATTTTCCAGGAACAGACACGTGAAAGCATGGGAAACCGAGCTCGTTTTTACAGGCAGGGACCGTGAGAAGAGACAAAAGTACCATCGGTGGGATGGAGTTTTCTTTGGGCATGTGCTGGCAAGATGTGAACGAACGTTTGTGCACCAAGTTACCCTTGGGAAAGGTCGAGCTAGAATCTAGCGTGGGCGTGGGGGGCTACGAAAGGCTTGTATGATGTTCACGTAATTTATTCCAATCAGCAGACCCACTGGAGACCGAGGAATAAGCTTTCTGGCCCTAGTCCCCTCCTCGTTTCATCGAGCCCCAGTGAGGAAGGCCCACGACTTCCTGTCCTGACGGAGACTGGAGCCCAACGCACGATTCTGTGGCTTCACTGAGCTGCTTCTAAACGCTCGTGCCCTGAATGACTTACCTGCTTCTCGCTATCTGCCTAGAAGAAACCCCGAAGCAAGCCGTGGTCAGTTACCATGGGAACGTGTGGCCGAGTTTCAGGGCAGTGAGGAAAGCCAAGGAGTCGAGCAGAGAGTGAGATCACGGAAAAGCGCGTCAACGGAGCTGTTCTCTTCACGCTCCGGGGAGCTTCCCTGCCCACCCTTGAGAAAAGGGGTCTCTGGGATACAAGCCACTCCACACTGGTCTTCTTACCACAGTTCTCTTCATCTTCTCCACTGTCACAATCGTGTTCACCATCACATCTCCAGGACACGGGGATACACTGAGTGGAGCGGGCGCCACAGCTGATTTCATTAATGCGGCATGTTCTCATATCTGTTGATGATATACAGTCTCAAAAGAGCCTCCAAACTCATCAGGGCAAAGCTGCTGTTCCTGTGCTGCCTGTGAGTGGTCACACCTGCACCTCAGCGGCCTGGCCGGTGGATGCGATCGGACCTACCGTGGCGGAAGCCCGGGGCGGCTCGGGAGCCCTGCCAACCTGTGCCACCTGGCAGTGCACCTGAGAGCCTGGACCGTGTTACTCCTTCAGGGTTCCATGGCGCGCTCAGTCCTGGCTTTTGTTTTACTTGGCATGGTTAGGCTTACTGGCCGGCCTGCTCCTTGACCTTTTTTTTTTTATATCGGGTATCAGATAAGGTCACCCGATGCCAACTTCATTAAAGGCTGGAAGGTCTAACACCTGTGAAGTCTTCCTTTGACTAGATTCCTTTATAGGCTTCTTCACAACCTACTTTAGACTGGCAAAACGGGGACAGCTCCTGCAGGTTGACCTCACCGGGCCATCCTCAGGGCCACGTCTTGGCGGAACCTGTCTTTACCTGTGGGGACTTACCTGCCTTGACCAATGTTGTGATCGCTCCCCTTATTTCTTGCCTAGAAAACTGAGATGGACACGTTTAGCTTCCTTTCTGCTTCACTGTGTTTTGTAAATCCTATTCCAGACCTAAACCTCGCTCCTATTGGGACTGCGTGTTCAGTGCTTTCACAGGTCTCTCCTGCTTTGAAATGAACGCCAAGACATGCTTCACCACGACAGTCAAAGGATCCCAATTTATCTGTCCCAAATCCTCCTCTTCTGTGATGTCACAGGCCGTTTCCTGAATATCAGCCCAAGGACACAGATAGACCTTTGAATACCTATGAGGTTTCTCTTATTTAAGAACAAGCTGTAAGCTTTACCCTACTTCAATAACCTTAGGTAGCAGGTTTGTTAAAAATCACGATGTCCCCCTATATTTAGCCACCGTACCCCATCAGTAACTGATTTTTTTTTCCCAATCGCCTAAACTGTGCATCTAAAAGCTTATCCTTGGCGCAAGTAGTCCCTCATAGAGCTCAGCTTCCAGGACCACAGTGCCATCTGCTCGGAGTCCTGATTACCAAACATTTGCAATCTATGCACCTAGTCAAGGAGTTCTTCATCAAATCTGCTGGCTTCCGTCGTAAATATTCAATAGTGAAGCTACCCAAGAGGACGTGAGTCTTGTTAGACTAGGGAGAACATTCTTTAAAGGACACGGATCGAGTGCTCGTGACTCGATTGACCTTGGAGTCAAAGGGCCTACACATCACGGTCGGCAAAGGGAAACTACAACCAAGTTTCAGGTGAAACCATACTTGGAGCTCTGAGACACAAACCAGCCTGGAAACGTTAAGGTCCAAAGCAGTCACTCACGGCACTGTTCGGGGCTTTCGTCAGAGCCATCTTCACAATCGGGATCTCCGTCACACTGCCACCGGCTGGGGACACATTGGCCATTGTTGCAAACAAAGTCCGACTCGGCACATGTCTTCTTCACTACAAAAGTGTATTTGCAGGGTTAAAGTCGAAGTCACCCAAGAGCTTATATTCCCATGGGGGGTAAAAATGAATGCTGGTACGTTGGCTTCTAACAATAAGGCTGAGTCAATTGGCTCTCAACTGACAGTATCCAGGAGAACACTAGAAAAACCTATTTTCACGTTTCCAGAGGAGAAAGGGGCCCACTTGAGAGAGCTGGAGGGGACAGAAGTCACGGTAAGGTTGCTCATTACCTGACAGCTCAGGGATACCTCCTAATGAACTTCTTGCAAGTTTCATATTGTTGAGTGTAAGTCATAGTTTCATGCTTTTATGCATTTCTTCCAAGTCATTCAAATAACCTCCTAAGGTTTAAAAGCCAAACATTCCATCCTATGACTGGATCACAGTACAATTGTTCTAGGGGCTTCTCTAAACAGCCCACGGGTTTAGTGTAGAGTTGGGACACGCTTCAGGACTGAATACTGTCACTCCTACAGGTCTGTTGGGGTGGAGGAACCTGCCCAGTAAGAAACAGAAAAAGCTTAAACAGGAGGACAAAAGAAGTCACATTTAGAGTCCTAGAGACAGACTAACATCGACTGACTGAAAGTCACCGAAGCTGCTGTGGAAGCTACCAGTCTCTTTGAGGCCTAGAGTGAAAGTCGCCTATAACAAGGTATCCCGTGTCTGTGAATTCCTACTAGGGCAGGACTTTTCTCCTAGAATTTTGGTGACTCAGGTTGTTGTCCAAATAAGGAAAATCTCAGGAGGAAGGGGACACTGTTAAATACCAGGAAGATCAGCATAAACCTGGACTCTCTTAAACCAGCCGGGTGGCTTGGTCACCTTCTCCACAAGGGAGTCAGAGAGAAAGAGGAATCTCAATAAGCAGCCACACAGGGTGTTCTAGGCTCATCCTTCCCAGGCTATGTTGTTCTTCTCTCATGTGCCTATACTTTCTACCTAAGTTTCCAGTTTAAGATCTTCTTGAATATTCTGTACTGGTAAACCAGCATAAACCCCATTAATTTGCTAAAAACTTGAAAGGGACTGCTTCAGGTCCAGGGTTTGAGCTACATACAACTTGCAGGGTGTAGGGGACGCTAAAGTACAGGGCCGCTCTCGTTTCGCCTCAGACACCGTGCGGCAGGGGAAATGGTGACTACGGTCAATTCCGAGAACTCACATTGTGGTGATGAATCATGATGATCTGAAAAGGATTATTCATCTCCTTGAATTGTGTAGCCAAGGAAACAAGAAAAGCCACATTGGCTCTTGGATTCGCACCTGTTTGTAAAATCCCTGAAATACTCAAACCCCAGTATTAATGGTGAAGGCCATATCCAGGGCCCATGTGCTCCCGCGCACGTCGGAAGGTGCTAGAACATCCGTAGAGCTGCTTGCTGCAATTCAACCTGTGATGGTCCTCAGGAAGAGGAGGCAGGAAATGGCTTTAAGGAGACCACACTGGTTTGAAGACAGATTAAAATGGTACAGGGATGGGCAAGAGGGGAGACCCTGCAAAGTGTGACGGCAAAAGATAAACAGGGACAGACAAATTGCTTGAGTTTGTCTCTCTCCATTCTGAACACAGTCTGGGAGGGTCAAGAAAGGCTGTTGGAATGGGACCTGAAGAGGTGGATAGAGATTCAGGTGTGCCACCGGGAAGGAGGGCTTACCTGTTTCCTCCACAGAGAGCTAAAGTTACTGATTAATCAGATCAGCCCAACACTTGTAAAACAATGAGTTACTGAGACCCACAGAAGCACCTGGCTTCTGGAGTCTCCCCTTCAACTGACTGAAAATGCTGGTCGACACGCTGGAAAGAAACAGCCCTGCTGAAATTGCAACCAAGTTCAGCATCAAGAGGCTGGATAGGAAGAATACTACAAGGCTTTCTGAGTTTTAAGCATTTCTGCTGCCTTTTTCTTCTGGGGAGGAAGATCTCAAAACAAGCATTCAGAGCTTCCCTGAGCAGGGCTCCCATGTTCCTTCTCTACCTTCAGAACCACGAGGCAGAGACCAATTCTGGCCAAGGATATATTTCATTTTTACCACCTCATGTGATTGTGAGTGATAACTACATCTACCTCCTCAAATCTTCTCAATCTTCCTGGTGTGTGTCTGGAAGTTACTGAGGTGGAGACTATTTTTAGGAAAAGCCAGCGGGTGACCCCTAAGAGGCCCCAGGTTAGGTGCTACCAAGTTAGATGGTAAAAGGAGGCTTCTGGAAAGAACAATGAAAGACAAAGAACAATGGGTCTTGCCAAATATACATTTGGGAATGCAGGAAGAATTGTTACTTTCCAAAAGAAGAGTTGCCAAGAGTGAGTCCTTGCAGGGAGATACTTCGTGAAGGATTTATTTCACCTACGTAACCTAGCAGTGGCAAGAATTCCATGTCTTGTAGGATAGACTAAAATCCCAGTTTTAGGGTGTAAATAGGGGCATATTGATGCCAGGAAGACTCTTGGTCCTGAGACTGGAGATGAGTTTCTTCCCTGAGACTAGAAAGGACTTTCTCTTGTTTCCAAATGAGCTGCTAGTCCCTATTTCGATGTACAAACACCTATGCTATTGCTCGGTGAGCTCAAGCATAAGATCGTCTGCCATGATGCTTAGGCTATGCCATTTTTGTAATGATGCATGAAAAAGCAGAGAAAGGCATAACGAGATGGCAATTGATGCAATCTACATTTGGCTTCTATTTTTCTTGTGTGTTTCTAATTTGTACAACGGACATGTGTATATAACATCTTTTAAGAGGCAAATGACAGTGTTGTCCCCGGCATTCGTACACAACATCGTTTCAGGATTTTTATACCACAGAACAAAGGGATCAAAAAGCAAACTGGGGCATATATTCAGGGTACCTCCGTGCCACCTTGATATGTATTTCTCAGCTATGGTGGGTCAACATGAGGGTACACAGATTGCATAGGGGCATTTCTCACAATGATCTTTGGATAGATGCTGATCAATGCTTATGATGGTATATTCCCACTTTCCTGGGGAAAGACTGTCTTCCACTCTGCTTGATGCTTTAGAATTATCCGTTGTGGTAGGTAGAGAATTAAAAAAAAAAATTCCTTACCATATTCTGTACTGTGATGTATGATCTGCACTGGCCTGTATTTTCCAGGAGTTTATTAACCTTATAAAACCTTAGGGGATTTCTTACTGCTCGTGGCTTGCTTTATTTTCAGGGGTGGGGATCAGAGCCATTTGAGAATTAAATAAAAGGAAGTCTGTTCCAAGCAAGCTTCTGTCTGTCTCTGCTTCGGGTCCTGGGGTCCCCTCTCCTTGCTTCCTCTACCACATGTTTGCCTGATCTACAAACAGGTCCTGTCATTTGAAAGCACCTCCACTTTATCTTCCACGTCCCACACTCAGGTTGATAGCCCCATGTCAAACATTCAACTATATTCCTCTAGGCCAGGACGTATAGACTCTTTGGAGTTTTTATATATTTTTAATATATAAAATATATTAAATATACTTAACAAATACTTTTATTATTATATTTTAAATTTTTTTTTTCAACGTTTATTTATTTTTGGGAC